TTATTATCAAACCAATAGTACTTCATGGTAATAAATTCATGATTTATAAAACACACTTCTATATACACAAATGCAGCTTGACAGAGAGGTTGGTATTTTAAAGCAATGACGTTGATAGTTGCAAAAAGCAGCACTGCACGCTCAGGATATATGAGCAAACCTACATGTGTTTGCTAGACAATTGTGAGCTCCTTCAAGGGAACAAGGAAGCTGATTTGGTTCATGTACTTAACACATCTACTCTTCAGATTATTTTAGATCAAACATTGTCTGATGTTGCTGAACTTTCCATTTTTATGCTTCCAGAATTAGAGGAAGAGGAAAATAACATGATAAAGATTTTTCTTTCTGGAATTTGACTTTAAACAACAAAAAGGGAAAGCAACGCAAAAACAGTTAGTACATGACTTTATGAGTATAATTGTCTTATTTGAAATCTGGAGCCCTGGCTGGTGTAGCTCAGTGGACTGAGCACGGGTTGGGAACCAAAGGGTCACCAGTTCGATTCACAGTAAGGGCACATGCCTGGGTTGCAGGCCAGATCCCCAGAAGGGGGCACATGAGAGGCAACCACACATTGATGTTTCTCTCCCAATCTTTCTCCTTCCCTTCCCCCTTCTCTCTAAAAATAAATACATAAAATCTTTTTTAAAAACCTAGAAAAATTAGTATCGTCAGCTCTACAATTTTGTGTTCCCCCTCTCCTTTCCATCTTTTTGTTGGAAGCTAATTACAATGCAAATTTTTTACTTGGGAAACTCATCCCAGCTCATGTGATTATACAGAAAGAAGTTGAGGACTTACCTTCTGTCAATACTCAGCCTATGTAACAGCATCATGTTTGTCTTGGAATCATAATAAAAATGCTTTAACAAAGTTCTTGCTCCAAATGACTATTGAGAGAGGGTGGCTTAAATCACACTCCAAAATGCATGAAGAAGAAACCAGCACCCCACAGATATCACTCTGGTGTACTGACCACTGACTCACTCCTTTGTTTTCATGGTTGGTTGCCTCATGAGCTCCAGAGTCCTAGCTACTCTTTCTCCAGTGCAAAGGGTTCCATGTTACCAAATGGGGAAGAAAGCTCTCTGAGCTTTAACCCAAAGAGAAATGAGAGAAAATACTCTACAGGCTTCATGTCACAGGATATTAGTATCTGAAAAAGAAAGCTAGTTGCATTTATTCTACCATCAGTACCATTTCTAAAAGATGAGTTGGAAAATAAACTGTGTGTGGGTTAAAAATATTTCTCCCTGATTTCATGGGACCTTTGTCACATTTCTCTGCAGGACACTGGCTGCACCTTGGTATAATCATTACTGAGTAAGTAGGACCTCAACCTACTGAGGCCCTAGTTGAAGAGGCAGCTTGAAATTTTCAGGGATGTGAAATGCGAAGATTCTGTGACTTTTCCATATAAAAAGATCATGAAACCAGAAAATGATGACTTTATCCCAACAACAGGAACTACAGCTTTCTAATATTAGCATAATGAAAGCCGAGGTATTCAAGTATTGTTCCCTCTAAGGCTTACAGTCCAAAAGGGAAGTGACTTGAGGTAGGTCAGTCAACCTTCATTCCTCAAAGAAAGGAGAAATTTTTGGTTTAATCTGATCTCCTCCCCCATTTCATAACCACAGGGTTCTAGATCCAACTGTAAGACAAAGAAAATTGAAGTCAATTTCTGGAACTGTTTTGAAGCTGTAAGCCAAACTTCTCAGGACCGGTTACGGAACCAGGAGCATAAATAAGCATATTAGTGATGGGTCTTTTATAAAGATTTCCCACAGAGATCACTCGTGCATAAACTGTGCAAGTAAAATATACTAAAGAACCTTCTAAGAAAATGTCTTGAGGCTAGAATCTGATACCTCGTCTAGGTCAAGATTTTCTTGATCTTTAATAGAGCTTTCACGATATGTAAGACTATTGACAAATCTTTTAAAAATATGAATAAGGAAGTAGAGGTACCAAAAATACTGCTGCTGTCCACAACTGAATGGAGTGGGAGAGGGGAGGGTGTTAAGTAGGGGTAAAAATTAAAGTACACCTATCAAAATAAAAGGCTGACAATATTACAATAGGCCAATCATATCTTTTCTAAAGTTATAACTTAGCTAAGTAGCTAAAAAGGGGACACCAGGAAAATGTTGATTTACACTAGGCACTAACAATCATCAGACTTCAACAATATCATTTAAACCTGCAATAGAAAATACTTTAGGGGAAATATCTATCAAAAGGACTTCCATTTCACTCATTAAATAAATCCTCCTGGAGATCCTTTTCAACTTGGTACTTTAAGAACTATAGACTTAGTCTCTCCTGGCCTCTTACAACCATTACTTTACACATTTGCTATTATTTCAAAAAGGAAATGGGAGAAAAACCAAATCTATCAATATGGATTTTCCTCAATTTAAGTTTCACAATTCAAATTTAGCATGAGCTTAGGGGGAATTTAATTCTTTTTTTTTTTTTTGAGATTTTTAAATTTAGGCACAAGATTCTATTAGCAAAACACACAATGCTTTAGCTAAAATTATAGTAATGTTGAAAAATGCCTCATAAGAGGTACAATAATCCAGTAAGAAGAGAAAGGGTCTGTGCTTCTGAAAAGAGAATGGAATAATATTACATCATGCTAAATATGATTATATAAATGATGTGGTCAATCACAGCATCATCTATATGTGGGTTATAGAACAAAATTCATCAGAATTGTGTTCCCTAATAAGCTGTCACATTATCATACAAAAGGGCTGAACCAGCAAGCTCTCTCCAGGCACCACTGTTTGCAAGCCTGATTGTTGCTATCCACACCAAAAAGTTAGTACAGGATTTTAGTCACATCTCTGGTATCAAGATCAAACTCCTAATTTATCCTTTGCCACTAAAGCACTTAATTTTCTAAAATGTTTTCCAATGACCAATATCAAAGGCAAGTACCAGATTAGTCTGTCTTTTCAGAATCCAAATCAGGAGGACCAGAAACTCACTTACATTTTTCCCCTTATCTATTTTCAATAGGAAGTCAGGGTTTCTCATTATCCATCCAACTACCTTAATATTTCTAACACTTAGCAACGGTTCAAGATACCAAGGGAAATTCCTGCTCTTGTTATGGTTGACAGAAGCAGCAGTGGTAATTAACATGAGTTTCTGTACTCACTGCAAACCATTAGAACACAAGATTCACCCAAGGTTGACTCTTAATAGTCTTAGAAAGCTTCCTTGGTCTACTAGACAAATAAAGGAAAGACATTTCCTAAATATTTGGTTGGTTGACGTTTTTAAAGCTCGATAACCACCCCTCCTCCTTCCTTCTAGAAAGTCACAAAAAGCTTTGTGGAGGAAAGGGTCTCTTAAGATTAGAAGACTAGGAAAAATGGATGGTTCTGCTTACATTTCCTATCTCCTTCTTTAAATGACCCCTTTTCCCCCCAAAGCCATTAAACCTGGAAAACATTTCCATTAAAAGGAAGGCTTACGGCTATCAGTCTTTGCAAAATACTTAATCAGAAGATGCTAGGGTGTTACTCTTGGATGGAATTTAGAATACCAGGCAAGGTGTATCAACATGTGTAAGTGCGAAAAAATAAAAGTGTCCTGGCGAAACATGGAGGGCTAACAGAGAACTCACTGTGCTTTCCCTACTTTACACAGAGTGCACACAGTCACATGGACAGTGCTAGAAAGCCTCAATCTCTGTTCATCACACTCCATGTTTAAAAACGGAAATCTCAGCTCTAATCTAAGAGACTTCCATTCAAAGAAGTAAGAAACCTCATGGTGTTGAACCCAGAAAGCTCCAAAGTTATCCTGGTTACTTTTTATACTCTCAACATTGAAGACACCAGAAATACGACCTCTAGTGCCTCTTTCCTTACACCTGTCATGCTGCTAAGAAAGCACTGAGACAAGCCTAGAGCCTATGAACACAGATCTATGATATTTCTTTCTAAACTATTCAGACACCTCAAAGCCTGAAGCTTATTACTCATTTTAATATGAAAAAATGTAGAAGTACTAAAAAGTGAAAAATACAGATTTCCATCCAGGGTCACTACCAACTGAAAACATACTAGCAATACACTCCTCTGGCTATAATGACTTATTTGGTGAAACACTAAATTTAAAGGGTAATGTTCATTTGAAATTACCTTTTCACATAGAGAATTCTGACTCTAGAAGACCTGGGAGCTTTCTAAAGTCACGTTCAGACTAAATAGCATACCCTTGGTTTAAAGAAAAAAAAAAGTTAATGGAATTTAATCTCCTAGTCTAATTTCACTGTCATTCAATAATCAACTCTGAAACACTATTAGAGGTAAAGGGTCACTATAAATGCTTTAATAATATTTGCCTCTGCTCCTTAACTTGTCCCCACCAAGACTGTAGTCTACTACGCCAAGACTTGGTTTTGATTACCTTTTGATAAGGATTATATCACTTTTGCATAGTATTCTTATAGACTTTTGATCTCTCCCTCTTATTTTCGAACACTTATTTGATTTAAAATTGCTTTCCCTCAAAGAGCAGTTGATTGAATGGCAAAAATAATACACACGCATGCACTTATGACATGATATGGAACATAGGCAATGGATTGGGAAAGTGGGGGAGGAATAAACTTTATTGGCCCACAGAAGGGATAAGGGAATCGGGAGGAAGGGCTGAGAGAAAGAGGGAATATGGGTGGGAAAACTAAAATGGAATGATTTAAAATGTGCAAATACACTTTGTAACCCCCACCGTTCAACTTAGAGATAAATATGTACCGTGAAATACAGGTAGACTAAAGTGAGTTTCACTTTGCACTTGACGCTACCTGTACCAGTTTTATCATTAGTAAGTCACCATTTAATTCTGCCAAAGTCAGGCAAGGCTCTCTCTGGTTAGTACAAACAAGGCTCTCTCCATCCTGGTTGCAGTCTGACCCGCCAGTGCTCAGAAGGCATGCTTGTGACGAACTCCCACACTTTCCAGTTCCCCACCTCCATTGGCGGCCAGGGTCTCCAGCCTGCTTAAGCGCTCCAGGCTTCTTCCGAGAACTTCTTCGAGCCGACCACGTAACACCTGGGCCCTTTCCAGTTCCACCTGCAGAGTTCGGTCTCTCTCAGAGCTGATTAAACATGCCATACGGAAGGAAAATGGATTAGCCATCAACTGTAATGAGTCCACACATGTTTCCAAAGAGCCATCAACGCCATGAGACCTTCTAAAGTAACTGTCTCCAGGACACGGTAAGTGAATGCAGTCTTTGAGGTGGCATTTGTTTTCACTGCCAGTGGATTAGCAAGGCCTGCTCCTTTCCTTAAAGCTCATCCCTTTATCCTAGGTTCTGGGCCAATCTCACATAACATAGTTCCCGAGATTTATCTCATATCCCTACAGCACACATAAGAAAAATTTCATTATTTGACTAAACATTAGTTTCTGAAACACCAAAACCCAGGAAAAACTCAACACAAACTGAAGCAATACTGGGCCAGCAGGACTGTCATTGAAGACATCTGTTCTCTTGTTTGTTAACCAAACTTGACAATGCCCTGAAAAGGAATTCAGTTCGCAGAAACTAAAGACCCAGACCTTCTTTAAAAAGTAACATAATCAAGGGGTATTCTACCTTTCCTCTTCATTTATTTGCTTGAAGTACAATAGAAAGAAAAAATATTTTAAACCCAACACTAAATGAATAAAAATCAGGAAAGAAAAAAGGGGGCTAGGAGGGAAGGCAAATGGAAAAAGGGAGGGGGTGCAATACAAAATGAACCAGAATGATATAATATATGCGACCGAAATCGAGGTGTCAAAGTATACACATTCATCATGATGGCTCTCAGTGATCCTGGGGTGATATCTGCCATCATAATAAATATATTTTCTTTAGTGATATTCAGTGGACATTAGTTCTCTTTATAGCCTTACTCCTAAAACACCCTTTAATAGGGCATGAAGCAAAGAATGAAAAGCACTATACACTGAGTGCTTTGTATATGCAAGCCATTATTGTTGACACCTGCCAGGTCTTCTCACTTGAAATTTATAATAGCTATATGACTCATTTAAGATTTAGGCATTGGCTCAGAGCAATCCACACAACAAATGACAAATTATGTGGTCCCAACAGCTGTCTCTGCTTCCTTTTCTTCCCTCTTTGATATCAGTAAGCACCTGCACTTAATGAGGATGGAAGGAAACACAGTGCAGTCACTCACTTACCTGTCCGGATGGGCATGGAACTTCACCAGACTGCTGTAGAGCTGTCTCTCTGCTTGTAGGGCCTCATTCAGCCGACTCCGTTCATCTACCAGTCCTTCTAGCATCAGCAGCAACTGAGAAAAGAATAGAAGAAATATGCAAATGGAGACATGAGACATGAAGGCAGTTAATCCTGAGAAAGAGACCAAGAGAATGTATTAGCACGTACTGTGACTAAAAAAAGCTCACTATATTATTACTTACATTTTCCATAGTACTTTAGTTTTCAAACTGATGTCACATGCATTACCTTTTTCATCTTTAAAACTCTATAAGGCAGAATTTAAACGTGGAAGCAAGTACAAGAAAGAGAAGAGCCAAAAGCATAGAAAAGAGGCAGACAGAAGGAGTGGAAGAGAAAGAGAAGGCGGCCAAGGGGGAACCATATAATAAGACTTACTAGTATTCTTCACTCATCCAGTAAATATTGAGCCCCTTACTATGTGCAAGGATCTGACCTAAGGATAAGCTTACTCTCTAGTCAGGGGAAGACACTCATCAATCACACTTGTCATTGTGCCATTTTGTGCCATATAATAAGTGAGATGAAGACGAGTTCTGACAGTGTGTACCCAGCAAAGATCAGTTTAGGTGAACTTGGCAGACTTAAAAGCCCGACTGGACTGAGATGGGCAGTTAGTGAGAGATGACAGAGGAGGCACGGAGCACGGGCACGCAGGCCTTTCTGAAAAGTGTGCCACTAAGAAAAGGTTAGATAGCTGGTAGTAGCTACAAGAGAATTTGGGGTAGGGGAAGAGGTTTTCTTCTTTAAAAAAAAAAATTTAAAAAATGGTTAAATGAAGGCAGATGGGAAGGCTTCAGCTGAGAGAGGTGCCTGATGGATGAGGTGGAGCTGACAGCGTGTGACCACTTCTCCACAGAATTACAACTGTGAGAAAGGAAGAGCCGTGGCTGCCCTTGACCAAGGCAGGAAACTCCAGAGCACAGATTCTCCGTGAAATTCCATCAACCGACCCCTTTGTAACTAAAACTGACAGCATTTCCACTGCTTATTTCACAGTTAAAATACAGACTGTGTTCCAATAACTTACTTGTTGTCTTCGGTTTCCTGAAGCTTCCTGACCCTGTGATTCTACCAAAGCAACTTTTTCCCGAAGAAGTAAGACTTCTTGGGTCAGGCGGTCCATAGCTGGTATGTCTTCAGGATCAACCAGTTGCATCTGCAGGTCCTAGAAATCAAAAAAACAAAAAACAGTAGTAAAAATGCTATGCAGCAAAAAAGTTAACGCTTCTAAAACAGACTGCTACTCTTTCAAGTGGGACACTGATAAGCCATATGAAGGTAATGATGTATTCTTTACGAAGTCTTAGCAACTCTGATAAATTGAAGAGAATACGGTAAAATCAAGAGACTTTTTTAACAGTGTATCAAAGAGATAAGCACAGGTCAAGGGACTCGATGCATCCAAATGTTTGTGGATGCCCTACAGGTTTTCTGAGCTGCAATGATTTCCAATGGTCTTTAAGAAGCTTTGAAAGACCTTTATGAGGTCTTCTTTAATCTGTATGTTCCTGGTCAGGGACTCCATATCAGCCGCCTGCACCTGCAGCTCTTCCTCTTGCACAGCCATCATGGACTGTAGAGCAGAAAGTTCCATCTGCAGAGAAGAAATCCTCCAGTCAGTGGGCCGAGGAAACAGTATCTGTCACATTTATATTGTAACACTGAGGCAAATACTTTTCAACATCACATCACTAAGAGCCAGTAACACCACAGGTAAACATCGCAACATGAACAGTGCCCTCCTGGATCAGCTCAATAAACCACACAGTATGGCACCAAAGGGTGTTTTACGGGAAGTTGTAACAGTGGCTTGAGTGGTGTCCTCCAGTTTATTCAACACTGTAACACATCAAATTTGTTGAATTAATACATTTTTTATGATACTTAAAAAGCTGGTCACCACTAGCAGATGGAAGAATAGATGAAGTTTTTCTTTACATGAGTATTTTAATTAATAGATGAAAACATGATAGAGTATCATTTTGCAACCCTTAATGAACTAATGGGTACAGGCATCGACAGCTGATTACATCACTAGAGATCACCAAACAGGACAAACCTCCCGATCGAACACGCCACTACCTACAGAGAAGTCCCGCCACATGCCCTAAACTTTCAGTGTTGCACCTTCCCTTTCTCCTCACCGGAAAATGACAAATATTTTATTATGACAAAGAATTTTATTATATTTTATTATGACACCACTAATAATCATGATGATAATCACAGCTGTTAACATTTACTACGTGCTTACTATGCTCCGGGCACTATAAATGCGTTGGAGATATTTAATCCTTTTAATAAACCTAGTGACCTGGCTCCTGCCTCTCCAACCTCAATACCTTCATTCTGCTCTTCGTTCGGGACTCTCTAAGCACACCGGACTCTTCTGTGCTGGGAATATCAGACTGACTTAGGCCTTGGCACCTGCTCTTCCCTCTGCCTGGAATGTCTGCCCTGCCCTGGAGCTGCTTTCGTCTCATCCTCGGGTCCCTGCTTACCTATCATCTACTCAGAGAAGCCTTCTTTGGCCACTCTAGCTTGATCCTCGTCCATGTTACTTTTTTTAAAAACATATATATTTAACCTTCTTTATCACTGTCATTTATAGCTTGACTTTATAAAACACAAAAAGACATTTTTAAAAGTTCCATATAACTGGAATTTCAACAGTAGAAAGAGCGATAGCTTTGCAGATGTACATTACATGCAGTACAACTAAACAACTGGGAGATATTTTTTCAACATGGAAATAATATAAATGAAATAAATAGCAAAAGGACTCTACAGCAATGTTTTATTATTGTGGATTATCAGTTGCTTTAGGACATAAGCAAAGATTCTGAATATTCAGACTTCTTTTGCTGTGTTTCATTCATATTTACCGATATTCTGAGTCAAGCTATTTGACCAAAAGGTCTGATTTAGGAAGGCATTTAGCTTCACAGAAAAAGTTTTTCCATTTACAGTTACCACCTTCAAAGGAACTGACATTTCAGCACTGATATAATCTGCTAGTTCCTTCTGAGCAGTGTGAAAAAAATTACATCAGCCCTAGAGGAAGTCAGACAGTTACCCCAAAGTGTAAAGTATGGTGTTAAGTTTTCCCCAACTAAAAATTAATCAATGAAATCAGACATGAACTACAGTAGACTTGGTTTTAGGAAACACACATCTGAGAATTACATTATTGTTCTTGCCTCATCTTCAGTCATGAAGAGGGAGGTTGTAGACCACCATGCTGTTTACTCTGTGGATGGTAGTAGGGGAGGAACGCACATGACATGCTCGGAACTGACAGTGAACTGTGGCCCCAACTCTTCACACTTTCCAGGTACAACCAAATCTTTGTCTGTATAGATCAGTAGATCAAATGAACAGAAAACTTCCAACAGTGGTAGAAATGTCACTGTAGCTAGATCCATCTGATCACCGAGCAGATTTCATCTTGGATAGCTTTCTGAGACTTCTCTCTGGGGGTACTGCCATCTTTGGCAGCCTCGCCACACCCAATACCAAACAACTATCTTTCAAGGACCTCGCCACTTTCAATGTTCAGGATGACTACCACCGGTTTCTAAACTGAACGCTTGTATAACCACATTATTTAGGTATTTTGAAAGCTCAGGATCAGTAGTTACAGGCAAGGTGAGTCCATATCTCCACACTCGAGTAAAGGTTCCAGGTGGATAGATGCCACACTGATCTAAAATGCTGATGCCAAATGAGAAGAACTTGGCCATGATTTCTGTGCTCCCGTGCAGAGTAATGCCCCTGCTCCTGGGAGAGCTGCCGTGCCACGGCCAGGCCTACAGTGACTGCACACGGCCCACATAACTGTCATTTCCCCCAGGCTACTTATTATCATCTGTAGTTATATTATTTATTTGTATACTGTGTATCTCTCCCCAAGAGAATTAATTACACAGGGTCAGGCACCTTGCTGATTTTGTTTACAACCTTAGCCCAGCACTAGCGCTGGCTTAGACAAGGCACCCTTGTATCTAATGAATGAATGAATGAATGAGTACATCCTCAACAGCCCTAGTGGATAACTTACTCTTCTCCTCAATTTATAGATGAGATGGCTGAGGCTATGAGAAATTAAGGAAATGGGTAAAAAATCACATAGCCAGGAAGAAGTGGTAAATCCAGAATGTAAACTCAAGGAAGAGGACTCAGAACCACTAGGCTAGAATGACTTTCCTGTAGATCCTGTACATTCATATATTCTTTAAGGCGATGGCAAGTTATTTGTAAGTAAACATTTTAAAGAAATATTTTGAAATAACTAAAAAAAATGGTGTGGTCAGTAAAGACGGATGGCACACAGCTAGTCTAAGGTGTAACCAAGCTTCCTAAAGGAAGCAACACTTCTTTCCTTAAATACATAAAATGTAGAGTCTAATTCTATCAATACTTACAGTATCACTGTGTGCGCTCATGATGATTTTTAAGTACACAAAGTTATTTAATGGCTCTGGGCTACTGTGGCGTGTCAGGGGAAAATGTCCCTCCTCACATTTCTTTGCATGTTGAAGGAGCCCAGGTAGTGTAACTCCTAACCTCTCTTGATCCCCTCCCTCACTCAGCCTCATGCAGGCAAGGGAAGGACAAACCAGGCATGTCTGACTTAGTTTCACCTTTCCTGACCTTGGGAGAGAGCCGTCTGCAGGAAGCCTGTTTTGCCCTGGCTTCTCCAAGGGCAGCCTCTTCCCTACCATGCAGATTGGGTGATATGCCAGGGCCCAATGCTACCTGGGACCGGGAAGATAAATCTACTTAATTCTTGGGAATGGCTAGCAGGCTCACTTGGCTCTGGCATTAAGTTCTCTACCTAAGCCTTTATCAGTGATATGGTTGATAAAGTATCACACTACCTGCCATTACTTTATTTCTCCATTTGTTCAGGTCTTGGTTATGGAAGAATGGGTGCTATTTATTAGGCCCTTTTCAGAGGTCTCTATCATTAAATATCCAGGTATTTTTGCTCCATTGAAGAAAAATGAAAACATGAGGAAGAAATATCATTGCCGCATGATAAAGGTCTGCACATGGGTTTTAAATATGGCATGATATCCCCAACAAGACAATTAGACCGAGCTTCAGTTTCCTCAGTTGTAAAATAGGAATGATACCTACTTCTCAGGAATGGGTGAGAATAAGAGAAAATGTATCTAAAGTGCCTGGCACATAGCAGGCAATCAATGAATGATAACCACTACTACCACCACTACTACTATCTTAAGATAATAGTGGGGATGTTTAGAAAGCTGGGAAAATCTATATGCCTTTTGAAAAACACCTAATATTAGAGGGAAGGTGATACTGAACATAAGGCACTGAACTGAGAAGTTGCTAGTGATTAGGACACATGAAGGTAAGTAATATAGCTACATATCATTCAATCAAAATACCCCTTTAGTCATTATAATTTTATGATTCAGAAAATGGGACCAAACAGTAACATTGCTCTGAAATGAGTATCTGACATGAATAATCAGAAAATGGCTAGGGCAGAGCCAAAAAAAAAAAAAAAAAAAAGGGCAGGGGGTGAGACTAAGGGCTTTTTAAAAGTGGTAATTTAAAAAATTCCACACAATTTTGTATCCTCAAAACTGTAATCATACAATGTCAGTCTGCTTGTGAGGGGATAAATGGTGTAAAAAATGAAATTAGAGGTCCAATAATATAATTCCATCACAAACATAAACATAGGTTTTATATTATAGATCTAAGCCAAAGGGGTGGAACAAAACTGAGGAGCTACAGACTAGCCAGGTACACTTCATTTAGGAACCCGTGACCCTGACCGATCTAACAGGGATGCCATGGTAACATAAAGGCTCTCAATTTTCATCGGGAATGCTATCGTGGCCCTAATATTTCTTCTAGATCATAAGTGCACATATAACTAGCTACATAGGGAGGCAGAAAGGGAAGGGATTCTGTAAGGCTGAGAGGCCTCTTCTATAAAAAATCAATGAAAATTTTATTGCTGGAAATATAGCATAAAAATGGGAAAAACTATCTGTTCCAGGAAATGACTACTTACAAAGCCTTTTGAGTCACAAATGACCTGACCTGATTTCTTAGGTTTAGCATTTCTTAATCATATAATTACCTCCCACTTCCATGTTTTAAAAAAACTCCTCATTTCAGCTTCTTCATCTATAAGCTAGGACCAATACCACTTACTTTGCATAAATGGCAAACATTAGTGCTAATTCAAACACCCAAGAAAGTGCACTGATTATAGCACATAGTCAATAAACATATTGATCATTCTCAAATCTCTCTCATTCCCTTGTTTCCAAAACTGATTTCATGGCTCTAATGTCGTAATTCTAAGCAGCAGTTGTATAGCATATTATTTATTCTAAGTACTTTACAATTATTTTATTCCAGTTAGCAATGGGCAGAGAAAACTGTTATTTCAGCACTTAAAAAAATAGTCCCCATTTATAAAAACAAGAGCATCTTGGAAAGGTAACGTGTTTATGAAATGATTATATATTTTCTCCAGAAAGAAAAAAATTGCACACCTTATATTTGGGCCCACATATTACCTGGAGCACTGTACTCTTTTAAATATAAAGTATTTTGAAAGAAAAACCAGGAATTTAGAAATTAGGCTGGACTAGAAAACTCACCCGACTTTCTCTTTCTTTTTTAGCCATGAGTTCAAGTTCCTCTCTGGCATTACTCAGTTCTTTTTCCAGCCCTGCAACTGTGTCCAAGTCTCCTAAAATTTAAAAATAGTGCTAGTTTTAATCACTCTTAACATAATGTGATCTCTGCTGTCTCATTTCTCAGGAATTTACTCTGACAAACAATAAAAAACATATGCACAAGTTGTTCTTTGAAGTGTTATTTATAAAAGCTAAACACTGCAAGCAAAACTCCTTGCCTATAAAAAGAAGACTGAATAAACCAGAGATCCACACAAAGTTTACATTTCCTGTGTGATAATTATACTGTAGTTATGTAAGTAATTGCCCTTGTTCTTAGGAAACACACAGTGAAGTATTTAGGGATGAAGGGTTATGATGAGTGTAAGTAATTTTTAGATGGTTCAGAGAAAAGTGTCCCATCTGTATGTATGCAAATAAGTAACGCAAATGTGGTGAAATGGTAATTGATGAACCTTAGTAAAAGTGTACAAGAGTATTCAATATACCATTTTTGCCACTTTCTATAGGTTTGAAATTTGCAAAATAGAAAACGGGGGAAGATACTTTTTAAGAAAGGTATGTAGAAAGTAAATTAAACAAATGCAGCATTCTTCACTCTTCAACTAGCATAAAGTTTTCTTACTATAAAATGACTATGACTTACTGTATTTTTCGGACTATAGGACGCACTTGCCCCACAATTTGAGAGGAAAGTGAGGGTGCATCTTTTCTTTCCTTTTTTCTTTTTGATTATTGTTCAAGTACAGCTTTCTGTCTTTTATTCCCATCCCAGGCCACCCCCCCAGTCCTCCCCATCTTCCTCCCATTTCCACCCCCCTTAGTTGTTGTCCATGTGTCCTTTATACTAGTTCCCGTAAATCCTTCCCCTTTTCCCCTGAAATTCCCTCCCCTCCCCCCTCTGGTCACTGTCCCCCTGTTCTCTATTTCAGTGTCTTTGTTTTTCGAATGTATCTTGCCTGGCTCACAGTGGGGGGGTGGGTATCGGTGGCAGTGGAACAGGGTCACAGGTTATTAAAAATTTTACCACATTTTTTGCTTCAAAATTGTTTTTACTATTTTCCTCCTCTAAAACCTAGGTGCATCTTATGGTCTGGTGCATCTTATAGTCCTAAAAGTACAGTATCTATGGATTCCATAATATCCTACACTACAACAGACACAAACTTCTTATATTCTTGATATCATTAAAAATCCTAAGTACACAACCTTTCTTATCACAGGACTGTATTTACCACTTCCTTAATCATGTTGAGTCCCTCCTTCCAGGACTTGCTGGGGAACATCTTCCCTGAGGCTACCATAGATCCCAACCTTTTGATCTGTGGAAGTCACAGAGAATAATTCCAGGTCTCCATTTGAATTTTGCTCCTACCTGCTATAGAATTTAGTTGTTTTTAGGGAGTTCAACACCTACAACCATCCTTGGATGGAGCCGACCCTGGCAAATAACTCAACTGCTTGCCCCGCCCAACACTGTAATGTACATAGGTGATGTCAAGGGAGTTACAGGGAGTATCCTCAGCCTTCTTGAAAGATACCCAGGAGTTGTCAGCCCCAGGTCCTGCTGTGCAAGTTTGGAAACACTACCTCCTGCACTTGCGAACCCCTGAAGAGCTATCCGAAAAGGAGGTTGCAATTTCCCTGGGCCGAAGTGGGTACCCAGAGCAATAACCTCAATTCAACATAAGAGAAAGGCAGTTCTTCCTAGAGTAGACATGTCTTCATCCTTTCAGGGGAATCCAAATTTAGTTTTTCCAATAAGGAAGGAAGGGAAAGAGAGTCTTGGCCGAACCCATTAACAGACAATTACAGAAGGAAAAACAGAGATTCCTTAAAAATGAAATCTGATACTTACCTAATGAGGACCTGGGTAGGCTGGTATCCCCTTTGGTGGTCAGTGAAGTGCTGTCATCTCTGTAGGGTATATTCTTTGAAGCCTGAAAATGGGAAGAGTTGGGAAATTTAGGAAGATGCAGGAGCCATGACCATAATGACAAGGATTGGAATGTGCTCACACAGTTCGGATAATTATCAAACTTGGGCCTCAAATACTACACAAGTCTCTAGTGCTTACTTACGTGATCAGTCTGCTCTCCAAGCTGGGGGCCGATGGCAGTAACTGCAGCTGGTTGGTTAGAGAGGAGCGCCTGGCTCACCGTGAGGTCGTTCCCTCCTAAATACTGGCGCAGGGCCTGTAATTCTGAATTTTTTTCCACCAGGGCTTGCACCATCTTCTCTGCAGCAGCCTAGTAAGGAAATCATACATAACATTGGAAAGATATTCTAACAAAACATAATTTGTGTTCTGATGTTATTTGTTAAAAGCTAACTGTTTATGAAGCCAGAGGGGCCCTAGAAAATAGTTCCTTCGCTTTCAGTTTATGGGTAAAAACACAGATGATGAGTGGAAAGTCTCTTGTAGGTAAAATATTGGAAAAACTGAAAATAACAGATCTATTAAAGACAAAATTATATGAAATTGGTTCTGCTAGAATTCTATCAGACTAAGGTGTTAAGACCCTGGTTTGAATAGGGGTTTTTCTTTACTCTGGGATTCATGTGCTTTTGACCTAGATGTCCTTCACCAACACCAATTTGGTTTGCTCCTCTTAAGGCTTTGTCAAGTTTTACCTTTTAAGATTGGCCTTCTCAGCACAGATTATCAAAAACTGCAATCTTGTCTTTATTCCCAGTTTCCTTCCTCATAAATTTTATTGCCTCTGTCTCTCTCCCAAGTGTATATTAGTTTTCTAAGGAAACTTATAGGTACTATGATGCTTGTTCAGTGCTGCACCCAGAACAGTGTCTAGCACATCGTAGGCACTCAGTACATAACTACCGAATGAAGCAATTACACAGAAACATTATCAGACTATAATCTGAACCTCAAAATGACCAATGCAGTTGACTCATTTAAAATCTCACAATTTCCTAAGACAGACAATGGCATAACAAGGAAGAAATAGAGAACGTTACCTGTGACTGTTACCACAAAGAAAGCCTGCATTTAATCAGAAAATCTGGAAATAATGAACTAACAGTAAAATTATTCAGGGTTTTAAGAGGACAAATCAAAACTGTGTTAGCTGTATCACAGCACGAACTGTCTCTGGGGAGAATTTCTACCATTGTAAAGAAGCTGAGCCCCAGCCATCATTTCTAAGGGAAATACAAGGATAACCTTCCATTTTCAACAAGTAAAATTTGGGCTCTCTGGGGATTCGGACATAACTATCTTACAGGTATCAAAGCATTATTAATTTGACTAATTAAAAATCTGTGAAGAGATTTTATTATGAGAAAAATAAATGACATGTAAGACATCTGGTGTTACATGTATAATCTATCTGGCTAGGGATTCTTTTTCTGATAATGCTGTTTTTAGTGGTGCTCCTCCATCATCTGGAAGCCTGTAAGAAACGCAAATCTTGAGCCCCACCTGTTCCTCCTAATTTCTGTTTGGGGGTGAGCTTGGGAGTCTCTGTGTTTAAAAAGCAGCCGAGGGGGGTTATTCTGCATGCCAAATTTGAGGAGGAAATCTAGAGGAATACAATCATTACTCCTCTTCTTGAGTTGGAAATCTTTTGTAATTTTAGTCATCACCTAGGTTCTCTTGTTTTACTGACAGCACTGTCTAATATTTCTGAGGTGTAATAAGATTGATTCTTTCAAATTACAAAGGGGTTAAGAAGAAAATTCAAATAAATACCAGTTAGCTTCTTGCCAAAGACTTAACTAATTCACAGTGATTTTGCTAGGTCTATTCTAGAAGCAGTTCTGCAGTACATGGCAGCATGTTCCAAACAAAGCATATTTGCTTCAGAGGCCCAAGAATTAGGGAGTGGAGTGTCACTGTTCCCCCAGCACGAGGAAGCATTAGAAAACACCGTGGTCAGATCACACAGGCAAGTGATAAGAACCTGCTTCCCTCTCAAAACTGACTAGGGAGATTCTGATCAACTGCTCCCTCAAATGGAGCACAAGTCAACTATGCCATTCTCTAGCCTTGAGGAGACAGACACATGAAAATGAAGGTAACTTAAAAACTTACTTTGGAAATACTTGTGCACCATAATTTTGATTCTCGTCATGGCTTTGAAAAAAAATACAATTTTTCCTCCTCTTAAGATAACTCAGATTTCACAAAAATTAAGAGAAAATGTATGTGAGTTTTCCCACACCTTGGTTGGAAATACCAAATATCACTCATATCTTAATAAATCAAAATCAAAATATCCTGGGACCCCATATCTTTTTGTCAAAACTATCAGAACACTGAGGAAAAGAAAATGTTCATAAGAAGTTAATGGGTGGGAACATGCATCGTTTAGGCATCCTTCCAAATGCCAAGTGTCCTAGAACTATTTCATACTTTGAAGAGTGATATAAACTGTATTCTAGTGAATAGACCGAAGGGGGAAAAAAACCTAACAGAGTGAACTGTAAAATAACAAATACACACACTCCAAGGTTCAAATGCGCTCTATTCGCAGACTACCAATGCACTAAGGAACACTGCTCTCCTCTGTGTGTCAGTCCTTACCCGGCTCTGCTGCTCCCTGGTGCTCATGGACTGAAGCAGGCCCTGAATCTCCGTTTCATGTTCCACCGCCTGTTTGTTTCGATCACTGAGAAGGTCCTGCAGCATCCTTTCCTTTCGCTGCAGACGCTGGCACAGCTCCTCGGCTATCCCACTCTGCCCTGGTCCGAGTTTGCAGAGCAATGTTGCACTAACATCCTAAGGCAGAAGAAACAGTGTAAGTTTTGGAGGAAAGAATTCCGTCTGCTATATATCAAAGGGCTTAGAAGAATCTATCATAGGAGAAAGAGCTGCGAGATTCTGAAGAACAAGTATCAATGTTTCATTTATTTTTGTTTCCCCAGCTCTAGCATAGGCCTGGCACAACTATAAATACATGCTCAGTCAATGAACATCAACAATACGGAATACTTAAAATGGCAACTGACACTGTTTTCTGAAATAAGTCCTTTCCCTATTTGCTCAAGGCACATAGTAATTAATATTAGATGAGGATAAATGGTCACTCGGTTCATTTATTTCATGTAATTTCTCCCCAGTGTAACATTTGGTAAGCTGAAAAAGAATAAGCAGTGTATCTTTTGGCCCGGTGATACAGTTCCCATTTCTACACTGAGAGGCAGTAAACAGTGGTTAAAACCGTGGAGCCACCCTGCCTGGGTTGCACGCTGGCTCTGCCACTTATTAGCTATGTTAATGGGTGGGGACAAGTTAATTTCGCTTGAGATTTCTGTTTCCTTATCTGTAGAAGAGGGATAAAAATATGTACCTCATAGACTTGGGAAGATTTAGTGAGTTAATACCCATTAAGCTCTTAAAATGGCAGCTGACAGCATGAGCACTATAACTAATAAAGATTAGCCATCACATTGTAGGTTTAAAATTAAAAATGTTTTTCATTTTATTTTTAATTACAGTTTACATTCAACCCTGTTTTTATTAGTTTCAGGCACCCAGCATAGTGATTAGATACTCATACACTTTGCACAGTGTTCCCCTAACATTTCAAGTCCCCACCGGGCCCCGCACATAGTTATTTCAATATTACTGACTACATTCCCTGTGCTTTCCTTTACATCCCCATGACTGTTTTGTATCTATCGATTAGGACTCCTTCAGCCCTTTTGTAGGTGCATTTTTTAGACCTCACTAATCCTTGCATAACTTCTTTTTAAGTAAGATAATTTGTCTCCTTGACTTTATAGGAGTAGGAATAAAAGTCCTAGCGAAAGCCAGTGACTTGCCAGGCAGAGAAAGGAATTAAAGACTCGGGTCACTGGCCTGCCAGACCTCAAGAGTCCTAATCCAAGACTGAGCTTATGTAACCGCTAAACTAATGGTCTTTAAATGAACTAAAATCTTGCCTCCACTTCTTTGTTTCTGTCATGCAGAGATGTCTGTAACTGCTGAATGATACTTTCTTGTTCCTTCTGCCAATGGCTAAATTTGGTTTCCATTTCTCCTTTCAGCCACTGGAGGTTCTGGCAGGTAGCAGATAAGTGTTCCACTTCCAGGCCTTTGGCCCTCAGAAGACTCTCCATACTCTATAGTTACAAAGGAAGCAACCGTAAGTCAAAAGACCACCCCGCACATCTCAGTTTACACAAGAAACTTGACCTACCTTTAAATGACCTCCTATGTTATCAACTATTTTACGAAAGGAGAAAACTTAGTATATCATCTAAAAATGCCAGGATAATCTATTTTTTGTTTTTAGAAACTCTCATCTAGCTTGTAGAAAGATAAATAAAACATATATAATAAGTATTCTGGAGGTAGTAGGCTATATTATACTGGAAGTGACGAACTTTAAGAAGTGGCAGATGGCTAGATATATAAGCTCTAAAATAAATATCCAAAAATAGCCCACAGTAAATATTAGTAAAATAAACAAGTACTCTGATTGTAGCCATACAGACACATGTGCAACATTAATGAGAAAACCACAATTAATAGTTGCACCCTGGCAATGCTTATGTAAAAGTCTACAGATATTGACAAAGATTAGAAATTAATTAGAACCATGTATAGAAATCCCTATTCACTGCTTCCCCCTACAAAGTTTGTGAAAGTGCTAAAACTTCTCACTTCCTAATTTTCATTGATGAAACTAATGACTGTTATTTTTTTTATTTTTTTTCTTATAAAGCAAATATGCTGGTTTTCAGAAAATGATAGAAGGGCTGAAGCTTCAGGACTTCAAGTAGGGAGGGATGCCAAGACGGACAGATTTTGCTCGTACCTGCATGGTAGCTTCATTAGAGGAGAGGATCCCGCGCAATCTCTCTAAGTCGTGATCTCGCTCTCTCACGGCAAGATGAAGCTGCCGCAGCTCCTTTTCTTTTTCTTCTAGAGTGGAGAACTTTTCATCTATAGCCCGCTGCAAGGAAAGCAAGGATCCTAAAGTTCCGTAAGAGTCACTATTCTGATCACCCTTTTTCAGTAAGAATCTAAATATAAAGGAACGGAGAATCAACTCTGAAAAGCAGCAAACACAACAGACACAGATTTCTATAGGACCTATGTGGAAAGAACAATCCATAGCGTCGCGAGCAAAATGATGAGACATACCTCAAGAGCAGCATCTCTATCTTGAATTCGCTGCCGCAGTTTCTCAAGTAACATTTCATTTGCTTCAAGGGTTTTGTCCGAGTGATCTCGATACTGCAGGAGCTCCCGAAATTCCTAATGAGACCAAAAAATCCTTTCCTTTTTTCCTGTATCCAGTATTAACTGAACTCCCATACTCTGTCAAACAATTTGTGAGTTATTCAGGATAAAAACAAAATGTAACCACTTTCATGGGGGAACACAGTTTAACAGAGAAAAACATTTTTAACTATTCTACATCGCATGTATGTATGTGTGCATTGCTAGCTTCCTAGGGGAACACAAGATGCATTGACTAACTCTGCCTAAAGGTGTCTCTAAAGATCTCGCAAAAGATTACATGTGCTCTGTCTTGAAAGGAGGAGGTGTTTCGCCAGTGAAGAGGTGGTAGAGGTATTTCTATCAAAGAAAAAAATGTATGCACGATGAAATGTAAGGGATTTGAGGTGACTGAAGTTTACAGTAAGTGGTAGAAGTGATTGCTGTCTTCTTTAGTGTCCCATTTTTTAAAGATTTTATTTATTTTTAGACAGAAGAGAAAGGTGGGAGAAAGAGAGGGAGAGAAGGAGAAACATCAACATGTGGTTGCCTCTTGCATGCCTCCTACCAGGGGCCTGTGCACTGACTGGGAAGTGAACCAGTGACCCTTTGGTTTGCAGGCCGGCACTCAATCCACTGAGCCACACCAGCCAGGGCTAGTGCTCCATTTTTCCCTAAAGCTTTCATTTTATCTTCTGGGAAAATTTATATACACATCTTCACCTGCTAGACTGAGAGCAGAGGCCATATCTTATCTTTGTCCTCCTAGCACACTGACTCATAGAGATGCTTAATAAAAAAAACATTTGCTGAGTACTTAGTGCCTACATCTTTCAGGTGTATATTTATTGCCTCCTACCCTTTCTGGTTAGCATCTTGGTTCATAGATTGCACTTTCTATTTCTTTTGAATCCTACTGGTTCCCACCTCTCACTATTCTACGTGTAGTAGGTACTCAAAGTAGGTGGACTGATATCTGGAGATTACATGAACCAGAGGTTCAAAGCTCTAAGATTCCAGTTTTAGTTGAAATCATTACATGACTCACCTGAAGCAGCTGCTCTTTGTGACTCAGACTATGGTTTAGATGCTGAATGTGTTGCTCCTGGGTTCGAACCTCATTGTACTTTTCAGCCTCTAGGGTACGGAGCTGTTGGCTCTTACTCTGCAATTCTCCTTGTAGCTGCTGCAATGCTTTTCGTAATTCCTGAATTAAAAAGATTCCTCTTTGTGTGTTTGATTTATTTTTTATTTTTTGAATTTTTATAAGAGTTTATTTGAGCCAAACTGATAACATAAGACCTCAAATGTTCCCCCAGGTTCTCTTTTTTAAACAATCTAAAATTTTCACATGGGCATTAGATACGAAGGCCTTAAAACTTTCCAGGCATGTAGACTGAAATATCGAGTAGCAGAAAGACCCATTCTTAAAATTACTCAGAAATATTATATACAAATGAACTAGGATGTGGGAAATTGTGAGAACTACGGATGGGGGTAGGATGTACATTTGACATTATAATTCAATACTAATTTTTCGGTTTAAAAATGATAGACCTCTATAAACTACTAAGGAGAACTCTGACTATAAACCTGGATCCTTTACAATAAGCGTAAGAATAGGATATTTCTACCTCCCTTTTGAATCTTAAAAAAAAAGAGATATCATATGCTCTAAGGTAACAAGATAAAGAAATCATTAATGATTATGTGTTTTATTTTTAAAAACATGGCTAGTGGTGGGCACCATTCCTTTGACCTTGGTTGTTCTTCCAACTTTTGTTTCCTGCTGACTTTTGCTCATTCTTCAAGAATAACTTCACATCCTGCCTTCTTCAGTAAGCTTTCCCTGACCCCCTTCTTCAGTCCTTGCTATACTTCCTACAGGACCCCATGTGTACCTCCCCTACAGTATTTAACATACTGAAATTCTGTTTATGTGACCATACCTCACGTTAAATTACAAGTAACTTACGAGGAAGGAACCTGTGATCTTTACTCTCATATTTGCAGAACACAGCCCAATATTCAGCACAATAGTATGAGACAACAGATGTTGAACTGAATTACTCAGATTAAGCAAGTGACTAAAGGAATTGACACAAACCGTCTGGAATAAACGTCACTGGGGCAGAGTCAGCCTGTAGGGTCACAAAATGATTAATGATTTACCTGGTTGTGTTTCCAGGAAGCCTCTTTCTGCTGCTCCGTGTCCTGGGCTGCAGCCTCGACAAACTGCACACATCGTTTGGCATCAGCCAGCTGGCGTTCCCTTTGTCGAATGACTCTTTGCAGCTTCTGAATTTCAAGCTGGCTGAGGAACAAAGCACTCTGAAGGTCAAGCAGGGCCACCTGCTGCTGAGCTGGAGAAGTACCCTCAGAGGCCTGAACAGAGTAAAAATCACGATCACAAGGAGGGCAGGCACTGAGCAGCCGAGGCGACCAACGGAATAAGACTGTGACAGAGAATGGCACACCCCCCACTGAAGTCCCATCTATGGGACCCCCACATACATGAAGCTGTCCGAGCTGGCTCTGGTGCAGCATTTCTCGAAGCTTTGCCATTGTGTCATTTTGACCTTCGATCACCTGGTACAGCTCCTCGGTCTGAAAACCAAAGAGGGAATACCGAACATGCTAGTAAACTGAACACAAACTCCATTATCTCACCTTTACAGACTTTAGTAAGAGGATTACTTAGTATACCAATTTAGGTTGAGCTACAATTTCTTTAGGGTGAGATTTGTTAGTCTGACAATACCCACTTCTACAAAAATACAGAATACTTGTTGACTGTGATGGGACAAATCATTTCTTTCCAAGTCCTTGATAGCCAAATATTGTACCTCGCTTTCCCTGCTTTTCAGAGTTTCCTTGAGGCTTTGAATTGTAGTTTCGTGCTTCTGAGATGACTCCTGAGCAGACTTCAGTTCACAGCTCATTTCATTCAGTTTCTCTTGGAGAATCTGAATTCAGAAAAGTAAAATATTTATAGTTTGCTAGTTCAATTTCTTTTGACCTCAAATGGAACCATAAGATTCTCCCTCAAATCTAGGTTTATAAGATTTCTTGGGAAATAATTGCCTTGTTTATTTTCTACATATAGTGACTATTGAAGCCCTAAGCCAATCAGCTAGAGAAAGTAGCAGGAAATGTGAAATACTTCCTTCTACCCTCAGTTACTTCAATTCCCACTCACTGTGCTTTCTCTGTGGTGGCAACCATCCTGGGCATGTGTCCACATGAGTCACTGTGGACCCCTTACACGAAAACCAAGGGGCTTCTGCTATGTAGTACAGGATATGACTATACCAGCCCAGAAGCTCAGCATCTGGGACTTTTCTTCTACCCAGGTGTTAAAATCCATGGGCTATAAAGGGGTGAGAAATTCAGCTAAATTCAGAAGCACAAATCTCCTGTCTTGGCACCTTATACAGTTAAAGACTATATTCAAGCTTTAATCACAGACTTAGAAGGCACCAGAAATTCTCATCTGTGCAGAACAGGCTAAAATCCTGATGATAAATAAAGAGAAGAACTACGCTTAAATCAAATATTACCATGAATATACAGTACCCATCTCCCAAGTCCTACTCAGAGAGGTTAACAGACTCAGCTAGAGCCAGTCGCATCCCAAGGAGAGCCTGTGATCTCCAAGGGCTGGTGGTGGTCATACCTTGTTGGTGGCCTCTGTTTGCTGGATTTTCTCCTGGAGTTCTGCCATGTGGGAATCAGATACAGACTGTTGAGTTATGATGGTCTCATCTGAATTCAGCTTTTGTTGTTTGAATAACTCTTCAGTCATGGGCTAGGGAGAAACAAGACAAGTAACGTGCATTAAAAGTAGCCAACAATAAATTTTATCTTCACAACAAGGTTTCTAGCATCTTTTGTCAGACTTAGAAAACCAGAGTTGTGGCATGAATTATCAATATGAATTCCTAAGACAGCCCTGTTCCTTACTGAGAGCACTGACTGATTCGCATCCACCTTTACTATACTCCCTAGCTCCCCTCCCGAATTCTCCCATAGCATTTTATCAATACTAAGTACTGTAGTTATATAAGTGATGTCCTTGTCTTTAGAAAATAAATGCTGAGGAATTCAGTATAAAGATCCCTAATATCTGCAACTAATCCTCAAATGGTTCCAAAATAAAAAAAAATAATGTATTTATATAGACGATAGGAGCAAACTATAGCAAAATATGAGGCAACTGGTGAATGTGGGAGTTCTTTGTAGCTCCCTTATGACTTCTCTAAGTTTGAAATTGCCAGTATTTCAAAATAAAATGTAAAAAATTTAAAATAAACCTTAAAATCCATAGTGGCCCAAGAAGGAGTTATGTCTTACAGAAACAGCAATTCACCAAAAAAATTCAGTTGAAAAAAACCAAACATGTATTATTTATATACGGGCTGATCAATCTAAGATGAACTTATTGAACTGCACCTAATATTTATGAGCTAAGAGTAGTTACTAAACTAAAGCTTTAGGAATTCAGTGGGCATTAAATTCCATCTCCTCCCTGGCTGCCCCACCCCCAGACCAGGTAGGAAAACTATAAACCCATTAGGAAGAGAAAAAGCCAACAGCTATTCCTTTTTCCTTTCCTCCACACTTCAAACTCTGATTACCACCTTGCAGGCAGTGAAGTTATGGCTTACTTTAAATTCCTTCCTGCCAGCAACTGAGCGGGGGAGTATGAAGATTTCAGAAGAAAAATCTTTTCCATTCCTCCAGTGCTATTTATCAATTTTTCTACTTCACTGTGCATTGCTATCTCCTTTGTTCACTGTACTCTAGCCCTGTACTATCCAGCAGGTGTATTAAATACCATAGTACACAAAGCACTGTGGAAGATGGATTGGGGAGCTATGTAATAGAGGAACAAGGAAATACACAAAATATCAGGTAGTGACAAGCCTTATGCAATAAAATACGAAGTGTGACGAAGTGATTGTTATTCCAAATTGGTTGATCAGAAAGTCTCCATGAGGCGAGGCAACATTTAAATGGACATTTGAATGACAATGAACCTGTCCTTCAAAGATGCACAAAACTAGCCAAGGCAGAAGAAAGGAAACTGCTACTGGAAAAGACCCAGGGTGGATACGAGCCGGGGGAAAAAGAAGAGGCCTAAGTAACCTGAGTATTACTTTCTAACAGAAATACAATGAGTTATATATGTAATTAAAATTTTTCTAGTAACTTCATTGGCCAAAGTAAAAATAGGTAAATGACATTGTAATAAAAGATCGAATTTAAACCATTATATCCAAAATACTATCATAAACGTATTCAACATAAAAAATTATAAACAAGGTGCTTTACATTTTTTTCACACTAACCCTTTGAAACGAGGGGTACATGTTTCACTCACAGCTCATCTCAGTTGGGATTAGCCACATTTCAGGTGCTCCGTGGCCACAGAAGGCTGGCTGAGTAGCACAGGGACTGAGCTTAATGGGCAAAGGAGATAGTCATTTCTGATGGGGTGGAAAGGGCAGGGGTCAGGTCATATAGAGCATTTATTCTCAGAGAAATGAGAATGGACTGCCGAGTTTTTAACAGAACAGTATTCCAATCATATTTAATTCTTTAAAAGGTCACTCAAGCTGCTCTGTGAGGAGTGGACGGTGGGGAAGCACCAATAGCAACAGGGAGACTAGGTAGAAGGCTGTAGCAGTAATGTCGGTGAAAGATAACAGTACCCTGGATTAGAGTGGTAGCAATGGAGGGGGAGAGAAATGGATAGATACATTTTGAAAGTACAGTCAATAGGATTAGATAGTGGAAGACAGAAAAAAAAAAGAAGCAAAGAAAATGACTTCTAGTAAAACTGAGGGGTAGGGAGGGTAGGTGGAAGTGGAATAAGGGGATGGGGAATAAACAGTGATGGAAAAAATAACATAAAAATAAATTAAAACAAAAAGAAAAACTAAGATATCTGTTGTGGTATAACAGGGAGCTTTGCCCTGAAGTAATGTGGATTATGTCACACATAGGAGAGGTAGCTATTTAATAGTTTTGTATAACAATTCTAAATGATAAATACTTTTATAATTTATTTAATGATAAAACATTGTCTACAAAACTTGGCTTCTTACTTCCTCAAATAAAATGACTTTCCAATTAACACCTACTATAAGATACTTTTCAAATTTAAACCATAACAAACAGAATGAAAGAAAATAGCCTCAAGTTTAAAATAGCAGGAAAAGTGGTCATATCTATGCACTTCAAACCAAAGGGCTGTGAAAAAAACTTTAAAACTAATCACCTTGTCCAATCCCATCTTACATTTGAGGAACCTGTGACTCAGAGATGATAAGTGATTTGTCCAAAGCTACACAGGAAATCAGGAAAAGGTTCCAATTAAACCAGGACTTGGTAATGTATCTTTTACCTCTATAAAGCCATTACCTACCATAATGCCTGAAATAGTATGGAGATCAAAAGTTTTTATTTAATAAGTTAATAACCATAAAAAGCAAAAAAAAAAACACCCCAGGCCTGTCTCCTAATTCTGCAAATGTTCTAATCATTCAGTAGCTCTCTTAGAAATAAGACTACAAAGATACAGAGGTAGGTAGGGAGGAAGATAGATAGATAGATAGATAGATAGATAGATAGATAGATAGATATTTAATGTAGATATTTCATAGCAGCAACTTTAAAGCCAAAGAATGCCACAGGAAAGTAAATATGAATCTGGATCTCACATGAACCCATCTTGGCATAAATTATCATAGGAAATTCCCAATTCTGTAAATGTAATATACCAATCTGAAAGCTGGAAAATGTTAGTTTCTTCTTTATTCATAATTCTTTATTATTTTACATCTCAGAAAAATGTTCTTTCAGATAGCAGAGTGCCAAAATAGCACTTAGCAAAGTCCCACTGAGTCAACAGTTCATCATGAATCCTTGGCAGTATCAAGTACATAAACCAACCGCTCCTATGAAGATTTTACAGAACCTGAAATCAGTATAATTGACTTGGTTGATTAGTGCTGATTTCCAGAGTATCAGCTACTAAAATCATGTTGTAATAATCTTAACTAAGTTGCTCCTGACTCAGGACCAATCCAGTACCAGAAAAGAGAAGTGCTTCTTCCAGGCCTCATGCTGTATATTTTAAGACCTTGAGGCCAAAAGGCTGTACTTTATATCTTCTGGGTTAACAGCAATGTTCTTGGCACTTTTCTAGTTCTCACAATGGCAGGTCACAGATCTCAAACTGCTGCCATTTTCTATCCTATTGTTAATAAGAGAAGACACGTAAGAACCAGCTAACATAAAATGAAAGGCCTAATCTTTGACCAACATCTAATACGCCTTCCAAACAGCCTGATCTAAGTTATGTAGCTGGACTGTATGAGAGGTGTAATTTACCATAGTCACACAGGAGCTGACCCTGGCACTGCAAAGCTTGAAGCAAAGATGTGCTCTTTGAATTTAGGTAGAAGAGGAAACTGCACTATGGGCCAGAGCTGAATTGCTGTTTACTAAGGAACCACACCCCTCCTATAACAGCTTTTCTAGTTCAGAACAGACAGTAAAGAAGGAATAATTACCGCTAGAATATGCCTTCAGATGCTTCTTTGGATATTTAAACAATCCTGTGTACTCAAGCACAAATTCTGCAGAAGGCAAGTAAGTCAACTTACATATTAGAAATTTAGGTAGCAGGAGAGTGACACTGTCGCTGTTTGTCTTTAATATAACAAAGAAGAAAAGAGAAAGGAAAGAAGACAAGTAATCAGGAGGCACTGTGATGGTGACACTGTAATAGTGCACAGAATGGGGTAAGTGGAGGATTAAACAAAGGAATCAAAAGGAACTCACAGAGCAACCTTACTCTCTAGGATAAGAGGTTTTCTTCGTATTGGTAATAGAATATAACTAAATGAATTTTTATTTGTTTTTTCTTTCTGCAAACTAAAAAGACAACTACCAAAAATAATTTACATTTACTTCTATTCTTTCCACATTTGTTTAGAGAAAGAGACAAAAACCAGTCTGCCTTTGTTCTACTTTGCTCTGGCTTTGCCATAAAGCACAACAGGCCTAGGGACCTTAAAAGTCAACCTACCTAAAGAACAGACCAGGGGTCCAAAATATACATTTTATTTACAAATACTTTAAGCCTAATTAATCTTTCTATTCCCCCCCCCCATATCCTTAATTATCAGAGAAAATGGCATGGCAATTAAATGCCATAATTCAAGCTGAATGTTATTTTCTCCCTCCCCCTGATGTTTTATTATTTAACAAAAAATAAAGAATGAAAGCCAGGTGACAGCATAAAGGTCATATACCATTGTTTTAAATGTCTATTTTTCTACTGTCCAAATTTAGTGAAGTGAAGGGACTTGAACTAAAGATACAGTCAACATAGTTTATATGTGGTCTGTTTTCTTCATAGAATCCCTAAAGAATTCTCCTGGAATCCTTAAGTTATAGAAAAAAAGCTCTTTGTTTAAAATAAGTACTTATTCAATGTATATCAGGCAATGTGGCTTAATATACAGAATTAAAAGGTCTTGGCTGAGAATAGCTAGGGATCTTTGGGCTCTGCCTGGGCTGTTATTTACACCACGAGCTTTCCCTATCTCTAAACTGAGGACCTGCAAGAGATGATCTTTAAAATCCTTTCCAACACCAAAATTTGTTGAGAACCGGCACCAAAAGATAGTATTTTTAATTAACTATGGATTTAAAAATTCCTCGTTTTGCCTGCAATTCTCCAAGTCTTTACTTTCTACAACAGTGACCATATATGAGGAGGGTAAAAAAAGCTTTTTTCCCTCCCACCCTGCCCAGCCTACTTTTAGAATCTAATATGAAAGCACCATTTTTAATTTGTGCATCTATGTCTGGTCACACAAATACTGTAAAGCCCAAATTTAGCTGTTGAGGCTCCACTCTAAGAAAAGGAAGCAAAAGAAAAGCACACAAACACTGAACATACTAATACTCAATATTTTATACAAATAAAAACACTTTAAAACTTTTTCATAGCACTTTCATACATACTGTTTCTGACAGTATTGTAATTGTGATGCAAAATGTATATATAATAAAAGCATTTTTCAAAGACTTCAAGTGACAACAATTTAATTTGTTATCAAGCTCTAAATTTGCAGGATGATGTTGACTGTGGCTGGCTTCCAAAAATGCCTTCTAGGTTGTCCACCTTTATAATGGTTATCACTAAAGGACGTGCACCAAACAGAACGTGCCGGATGTTTGAATGTTTGATAAAGTTAACGAACCTCGCATTTACTGTTATTATAGAAACAAAGTAGCATCTGTCAGTGTCCCCTACGTGGCTGAATTCAAAAGGTTGCATGAAATCAATTGGCCACATACAAACAGCTCAAATTAAGATCTACTGCCATCTTCTAGTCATTTAGAAATTCAATAATATAATGGATGAAACTCTCCTATCACCTGATAATGGATGAATCCTTTAATATCAAACATCTTCTAAAGGACGTCAGTGGACAAACTGACTGTGAAAAGTTTTCTTCTTAACATTTTAAATGACAACACTTGAATTCCCAAAGTCTCTTTTATGAGCAAGTCATCATTAGTCTTCGAATGACAGTATTAATGTAAACACTAATACAATTAGTGTAAATATAACATCTGGGCAATATTAATGTAAATTAATGTTAATATTGCCCAGATGTTACAATACTTTGGTGGATTAATAGGTTTTCCCAAACATTTACCCTATGCCCTATCAGTCTGAGGCATACCTGGGGATAAAAAGGCTTAATGCTCCAGGGAGAACTAACTCCCTCACAGAATGGGAGAAAACATCTACAAATCTAAAAATAAAAACAAAACAGAAAAAGAAGGGAGGCTAAAAGGAAAGTTCTAAAAGAGTTCTGTCAGAAATAAGATTGTATGTCTTTTCATAGGGTCAAAGTGAATTAGGAATCTTTATCTTTTTGTCTTTAAAAAGGTCTGCAGTTTTGATATTTAATGCGAAGGCTAATAATAGCTGTTACTACAAAGAGTATTGTGAAAAGCAAAGTATTGAGTGTAAATGGCACACAAGTGAAAGGTGCCAACAAAAACGGGCTCAATGAGTTTCTTAAGTCTATAATATTATTATCCTTCACCTAAACTGGAGTCATGTGAAGCTTGAAGCCAGTAACTATAATCAGAAAGGCACTATGTAGCCATTTTGTATACCTGGACCCGGAGTGGCAAATACTCTTCACAGAGATCATCCCAGAGCTCCTGCAGGTCTGAAATCTCCAAGGAGTAACTGACAGGTGTCTTGTTAGTGGGTTTCAAAGACCTGTTAAGGAAACCGGAACTAACTCCATCTGTCATGGTATGGCCAGGCCTGGCTCCAGGTGGGCTGGATTTCACTGGAATAGGAAGCTTGCTCCCTCGGGGACTCTGGATGGGTTTATAGTCAAGACCTCTAATCATGCTAAGAGCTAGCTCCAGCTTGTGATTACACATATGCTGTGGAGCCTGTTCATCGGAACAGCAGTCACACTTTACAAGTTCCTTTGCACTTTTCTCGGTTTCCTCATCCTTTTGTTGCGGAGGGCTAGCCTGGACACTTGCATCCAAAGATTCCACAGAGGATCCGGGAGTCCCCTCCTCCATGCTTTCTCCATCTGGGGGTACCTTCGTGCTTGCTAAGTCCGGCGGCCCAACATCACACAGTGCTGGTTCTTCAGTGCAAATGCTCGTGGACCACCTGGAAGAAGGGCCATATGAGACACTTCTGGCCACCTTTCGAGGCACTTTACAAATGGCTTCATAGTCAGAATCAGCAACCCGCAACGCTGCACAACCACGGCATCTCCTGGGTCGGTTTCCAGGGCCTTCCGAAGCATGGCAGCTATGCAGCTCCTGAATCTGGTCCTCATTTTCTACCCAACATTCAAACCCCGAATAGGCAAAATCTTCTTGGAGCAGCGCAGAGTATCTTACATCGGGTAAGCTGGAAATGTCAACCGTCCCATTCCCCGCCTTGGCCTCCGCGCCAGAGTCATCGTTATTCTTTCGATACATGCTGGCAATGCAGAACTTGAGGCGGTCCTTCTCCAGCAGCAGCCTTTGCAAGCGCTCAATAGAAAGAGCTTCTATCCGGGCGATAACGGTGTCGAATCTATAGATCCGATCAAGCATGAAAGCGCACTTGCTGCAAGCAAATTCGGCTCTGCCATCGCGGGAGACATCCTTGCCTAGGACGTGCGAGAGCAGAACCTGGAGGTTGAGCTTGGATGCCGTGTGGAAGATCCAGCGCCGCTGGTTTCCGCACAGCTCCCGGGCACAGATCCTGCAAATCTCCTTCATCTTCCCTCTCAGCTTCCCTGAGGCGGCTGCTGCTGGGCGATCATTCACTGGCGTGGGGTCGCGGTCGGTGGGCTCCGGGCCAGCATGGCACAGCCCCGTGGACTCCCCACAGTGCAAGAAGTCACCTCTGCCACCCGCGCACGAGCTCTGGGTACCGGAGCGGTCAGCCCCGCCCCTCAGTAAGGGCGCCAGCGAAGAAACGCCTCAGGGAGATGCTGAGTGACAGCAGCGCAGGCCGCGCTCGGAACCTGTCTAGTCTGCACTGTCTCTCCCACCAGACGCGGCGTCTTCGGCGTCCTCTCTTTTAGCGGTGCAGAAGGTGCCGCCGGAGATTGACGCAAAGGCTGGGAGACTGAAGATCAGATTTCAAGATGGCGTTAGCTGCTAAACGCCCGCGGCCTGCGGCAAGTTCCTCTGGGAACTGTAGTCCGGAGGCCGCGCCCCGTATCTGCGCATGCGGGTGGTGATGTGTACCAAATCGGGTCACTCTTCCTCGCGGTGGAACAACAGACTTGGTTTACAGCGTATTCCCAGTGGGAAGCAGGACGTTCTGGGCCACTTACATCTGATCTGCTCAGAATTCTTGGTGAATTCCGCACCCTTCTCCGCCTGGATCTCCCTCCGCGCCTACAGCGTGTCCTGAGGTTCCGAGCGGGAGGAGGAAGCCGAATCCCCTCCCCCACGGGTAGTGCCACGTCTTCTTGAAGGGGGAGCCAGGCAGCGCCACTAGTACCGCCGCGGGCGTGTCATCCTCTCGCCTGCAGCCCCACCTCCTCTCCCCACTGGGTCTAGGGCTTGGGTTCAAAGGCCCTGGGGCTGCAGAGGTGGCTGAGGAGAAAGGGTGGATAAACCGTGGGGCGGGTTGGGAGGATTTTGGGAGGATTTTAGGAGGCTCGATTCAACCTTGCCCGCGACTTTTTGAGAGTACCTAGAAAAGAGGAAAAGTGTTTCTCTTCCCCTCGCGATGTTGGGAGCAGGTGGTGGATTTAGCAGTCCTGGATATTGGCCCCTTTTTTCAGAGTAGGAATCAAGAGGTGGTACAAAGCAGTCACCTGAGAAAGAATCCAGTAATTGCCACGTGAATGCACCTGGTTAAGCAAGATTAAGTGGGCTTTTTCCAGAATGTAGACACCTGAGGTTTTTCTTTCAGGTAACGGCAGTCCTTATTTTGGGGGAGGGGGTGGGTAGTAGAAGAAAAGACCTAGCTTCTTTGAGCACGAGTCCAGGGTGTCGGAGAGTGCTGCTCTCTGCGCAGTTAGGGCTGGGATTTCTCTGACTTCAGTTAACATTCTCTTACCCAACACTAGGCAGTTGTAAGTCAGCCCACCCTTGGGTATAGAACTTGGCATAAACAAAAAGACTGGAGGGAAGCTGCAGCTCTGACTCAGAGGAATCCGGGTGTCAAATCGTTTATAATAATTTTCTTGGCGTGAGAGGCAGACACTAGGCAGAAGGAAAACGGCCTCCAGCAGTTACTTGGAATCCCCCTGAGCAGGACATTTCTCAGTGACAATAATACTGAAATTTCACTAAATTGACCTTGTGAGAGATCAAGCCCAGCAACAGTCTAATATCTGAGCCCCTACTCCCAAACATGAAGACATTCAAATGCCTTCAATAAGAGCTCATAATAAGCCATGCAATTTATTTTGGTGGATTAAATGAGATTATTTTAGTAAGCACTTTAACAGTGCTTACTTAGCTCATTAAATAAGAGCTGATGTTATTTTAATATAAAAAGAATATTTTAAAGTAATTTTAAAACGTTATGGTGCTCTGTACACATCAGTGCATTGTTACGTAATCACCAGAACAAAATCTTATTATCTCTACTGGGAGGACAGTTCTTAAAAGTTTGGGGTTCATGGGGTACAGAACTTTGCATGTCTGATTTCACCTAAATATGTATATTCTGGCCCTAAAACCAAGAATGTAAAACAGTTCCAAGTAAAACTCATCACAGCTGCATTTTTGTCTGTCTCTAGGTATATGAGCTTCACAGTGAGAAGAAATTACAACAATCTTTGGCATCTACAGTGATCTACAAAGAGGCATGCAAATAGTTACTGGACTCACCCTATGATAGACCACCTGCCAGGACACTACCCTGTCTTAAGTATTTTTCTAATGAACAGCAAGGATTCAAAGGTCCATAAAAGAGCAAATTAATACACTAATCAAGCCTCTTTTTTCACTGTCATTGTAAGCCACATTTTCCTACTGGAAACATGCTAATAAAACAAAGTAATTAATGAGACAAAATGCTTTTCAGGAGCAAACTAATACTTCGTATCATTCTCTATTCCATAGTAAGATTTTGTATCTAGTTGCAGTCTCTAAAGTTTACTTTTTTTTTAAAAGATTTTTATGTTTTAGAGAGGGGAAGGGAGGGAGAAAGAGTAGGAGACACCAATGTGTGGCTGCCTCCCATGCGCCCCCTACTGGGGATCTGGCTCACAACCCAGGCGTGTGCCTGCCATAGACTAGGAATCAAACCTGCGCTCCTTTGGTTTGCAGGCTGGCAGTCAGTCCAGTGAGCCATGCCAGCCAGGGCCGTAGTCTTTACACGTTAATGACTATGTAGATAGCTTGGTGTAGAAGTGCTAGTCAGTATAACTGAAGAAAAGGCCATTTACCTTTGAAGAATATGTTTGCTATAAGTAAAGATCAATATACTGAAAGAGAGAGCTAGTGGTAGCTAGGCTTCCATCAACAAATAGGGATGAATCACTCAACAATCAAAGAAAATCTGAAGATGGCACTCTTCACCCCTTGAGAAAATACTCAAGAACCGTATTTCAAAGTGGATAGTAAATTGAAGTACTAGAAATAGTCCTAACATAATTATTGGTATTATAAAATAATCTCAATTAAAAGATGACTGGTGTATAACAAAACTTAAAGTAAAAATTAAAAAATAAATGAAGTAAAATTATGGGATGATAAATTCAGCACTTCCTCGTCCTTATCAGTATCATCTTGGTGGAGGTGTTCTATTTAGTTAACATGGCCTGCCAGTGGAAAGGCAAGCAAAAAGGGGAGACTGAATGGGAACATGTATTCTATATACCATGCATCACTTGAATTTTGGGCAGTGAATGTGTATTCATGTATTATTTTTAGATATTTTTTTAAATTTAGAAAATATTCTGTAGAATTGTGCCAATTTAACACACAAAGATGAGCATCTAAGTGGTAAAACTTGAACCTAAAATAAGAATTTTTGAAATATATATAACTATGTATATGTGGGCAATTTATATAAATAAAGGTTCTAAAGGGGTTATACAAGTTATTAAATAGTGATCATGTCTACAGAATGGAATTATGAATACTTACTTTTTTCTTTCATTTGTATACTATAACTTTATAATAAGCATTATTGCCTTTCTGATAAGAAAAAATACTAAGAAAAAGGTAGGATAAACACATTTTGATATACTCATGCAATGCAGTACTACTGACTAGCAATAAAAAATGAATTCTGATACCCATGACATGAATGAATGTCAAAAGCCTGAAACAAGCCATATACAAATCTGTATCCTAGGAGATTCCATAAGAAAAGAATCTACAGTGATAGAAATTCAGAAAGTGGTTATGGGGAATGCGATAAGGTGAGAATCAGGTGCATAGGGGCACAAAGGAAGTTTCTGGGGTTGTAAAAATGTTCTGTATCTTGGTTTGGGTCACAGGTACGTAGATGTGTACAATTGTCACAACTCACTGAACCAAATGCTTAGGTCTATAGATTTTATATGTTAGTATAGTTCAAATGTAAACATATGTATTACTTATAAACTTTGAGGGATTTCTTTGGCAGAAAATAACCCACACTAATCATAAGAATTAGCTTTGAAAATTGGGAAGAGAAAATACAGCCCAGAAAAGATTCTATAAAAGGCCCCATTGCAAATTCAAATCTTCATAGTGCCTGTCCACGAGAGCTTTGGGAAATTATATGCATATGCATGCCACACATTTATGAATGAAGCAAAGCATATTGTTCATGTGAGATTTAGGGTCTATGTGATGATTTAGAGTAGGATGACTACTAGAATGTATCAAAGGTACACAAAAATTTGTGAACAAAAATTTGTGAAAATGTTTCATATTACAACAAGCTATTATGAATTAAACAAATTACTAATTTTATATATCAGCAATTTGCCCTCAAAATGGATTGACAAATGCATTCACTTACTAGCTCTATGTCCTAGGTCGGGTCACTAATATCTGGCCCTTCATTTCCTAATCTACAAAGTAAACACGTTGAATTTAAACAGTGGTTTTCAACTTTGGCATGCATCAGAAAAACCTGGAGGATTTGTTAAAACACATCGTTGGGACCTAAGAGTTTCTGATTCAGTTGGTCTGGGGTGAGACCCAAGAATTTGCATTCCTAACAAATTCCCAGATCATGCTAATGGCCCTTTCTGTGAATCACACAAACCACTGAATTAGAACCATCCCAAACTGTGTTCTCAGTCAAAAGATCAGAAAGTCTGCAGGTAAACTGAAAACTCATCAATGTAGAACTACTACAAAACTGTTGACTTTAGGGAACTGTATATTAATTTGAAACAAGGTTCCTAAGTACAATATTATTATGGTCAGGATATTTTGTGCTCTGTTTTGATCTCTAGATTTTGGGGCCCTGGCAAGTACCTCTTAAGATGGTAGTCACTTTTGTACACTCAGCATTTTACTGTTTGTTTCTAAGACCTACTTGTAAGCTGGGAGTTTCCAAGAGAATCAGATGTGGAAAATCCCCATGTCTCAAACCAGTTGTATGAGGTTTCATTGCCCTAGTTATGGCATTGGAAATAGCTGTTCTAATTACTGAAAACTATGCCAAAAAGACAAAGTGACTGGCAGAGAAGCCAAAGAAAATGAGAAAATGCAAGAATATCAAAGTCAACCCAGTTAGGCTTTATGGTAATACCACAAGCACGATTTCCCTGTGCTGCCTGGAAATATTTAAGAGAATCAAAAAACAATCATGTTTTGCATTAATTACTAATACAGCATTTCAAAACACCTGTCTTAAAACCAGGGGATATCCAGTTGGACTACAGATTGTAATAATATAGGTATCAGCAGAATCCCTTAAAATAGTAACATCAGAGTCTTTCAACTTAAGTTATTACATACCCATAGCTATTTAAGACAATTTTAAAGTATGACTAAGTCAATCAACCAATGAGTAAGAATTCAGGCAAACTTCAGTATTTCTTTTCTCTGCCTTCAGCGAGCTTTCAGTTTAGCTGAAGGGGAGAAAATGTGGATGCTATGATTAGACCAACTGACTACTAAACTGAAAGGTATTGACTTTAATATGAGTGCAGATACAACTGAAATTAGCATGGGTTAATGTAGTGGAAGGGGTCAAGAGAGGCATTTCAGATGGGTCTTAGAATGGAGGGAAAAAAGGGAGGGAGGGCAGAAAAAGAAAAGTGCATCATCTGAAGTCTCGGAAGT